AATCAATCTGACTGGATGATCTGGTTGAACTGTAAAGTACCTTGAGATTAAATGTGTTGTGAATTGGAGCTATAGAAATAAACTGAATTGAACACTAGTAAGAAGCGAGATTGAAAAGGTCCAGAAGATAGGAATGGGTGAATAGATCTCCACTTTGTGCTCATCTGTCAAAATGAGATTTTTACAAGATATGCTAAAATGTCTAGGTTTAACTTTGCATTTCTATGTGATAGTGTCATGTTATTTGCAGAGAAAACAGCTTCTCTACAGGGAGCTACTCCAACAAACATATTTGCATCCGATATGCAAACTGGGAACTTTTGAGGCACAGATGTATGGAGGGAATTTTGTTCCATTAATGATGCAAACAAAAATGTTTTGTGAAAGGAAAGTAAAATATGCAGAATAAATGTAAAACATTTTCAGATTTTATTTCCTTTTTTCTAGTTACTTTCACTTTTCATATGTTATTGTTTGAAAGAAAATTTGAAGATTTTATCTGCTTAAATATTTGTTTTTCCTAATTATTTTTTTGTTTTGTTTTCCCTGTTTTTAACACTGACGTATTGCATTATTTGAAGATTCTATTTCACAGATCACATTCTCTTCACTTCAGGCCCCATACAAACACTCGTTCTCAATTGACCAATATAATGTTTCTCAAGTCCATGCAGGCCAATAGAAATGCATGTTCAATCATAAAGAGGAAAAACCGTCCCCAGAAATAAAGAGAAATTAATCTATAAAATGCAATTTAAAAATAATGTCATTTTCAATCTGGAAAAACAGAAATAAAAAATAATTAAATTATAAAACTTTAATTTATAAAACTGTCACTTTATAAAAAAAGTAAATTGGAAAACCAAATGGGAAGAAACAAAAAATATATGAAAAATTTATTTACAAATCAGTATTTTTTTCAATTAACAAAATTTAAAAAGTTCCATTACTGGATTGTATTTTTTATTTTATTTTTTTCAAATTTCAAAATGTGTTCTTTGCTTGCAACAATAATGGAACAGAATTCACTCCATAGGCAGACCTCCTGGGTGTTTTTGTGTAAATCTCCAGGTTATTGCACAGCTTGTTCTCAGGACATTAAGTCCCAGGAGATCGTAAAATGTCTTCTGTGCCCCCCCCAATACCCCCCACCCCCACACACACAGACAGCTATGTTCTGAAAATACCAACCGCCTCCCCTGGGGGTTCTGGTAGACCCAATTATTTGCCAACAACAACACACAGGTAGCACTTTCTGTATAACAGCTTTACTGTCTTAACCATCAGCAGTAAATATACAGCTCAGTCACAGACATGCCTGAATTATGTAAAAAAATAAAATAAAATAAAAGGTCGGACATAAATATTCAACGTCGGACACATGAGAGACGATCCAGACAATGTTATTGCACTTTCATTCACAATTTGGCAAGTCAGATGTCAATAAAGTCATGTAATGTCATTTTTTAAAGACCGTCTAAAAAAACAGGCAAATAAAACAATCATCCAAAAACAAATATAAGGCAGATTACCTAAATTAAAAAAAACAAACTCTAAAGACTGACTAAACAAAGTCTTTGAAACGGAACTAGCAGCCACCTTTAATGAACTTCAAACTCTCTGGACAACAACAGAAACAAATCTAAGGTGCAAAAAAACAACAAAAAACAGCGTAACCCAACCATCAGAGCAATTTAAGGCAATGTTTTCATTGGCTGCATGTTTAAACTGTCCTCATATGTTTATAGCTGGACTGTGGGGTGATGCAAGCGCAAAAACCACTGGAACTACAGAGGTCTCAAGTAACCAAGTATAAATACTTTACTGTACTTAAGTAGCTGTTTTGGTTTACTTTACTTGACTACCTATTTCTCTGAGGTCTTTTTACATTAGTCTTTACATTTAAACACAAATATCTGTATTTTCTGCTGCTGATTTTCTCCAAACTGGCTCAATACTTCAGTACATATTGATAAAGATGTAACAGCTGCAAAAAATACAGGGAGAAGTATGGAGTGAATTTCGGTCTATTATTGTTGTCAGCAAAAAACATGTTTTTTAAATGGAAATTTAAAAAACTTAAATGCAGAAATGGAAAAACATCTTAATCAAAAAAATGTTACAAGAGCAAATTGGCTGTTTTCTCAGATCTCATTTTATAGTTTCTTATTTTCAGATTTTGTTTTATGATTTGCATTCTTTTCAAATTGTGTTTTGCAAATCACCTTGTCCTCATTTTAAACCCAGTTAAATTAATTATTAACTTGTTAATAATTAATAACTTGTTGCTAACATCCAGCAGACCAAATGGAAAATGCTTTTCCACTCCTCCCTCCAGAGATAAAATAATGTAATCTCTAAACACAATTTGAAAAGAATGCAATTCGTAAAACTATCTAAAAAATATACATAAAAAAATTTTAATTTGAAAAACATTCCACAAAATTAAATTAGAAAAAAAAATCTAAAATAAAAACATTGATGAAAGTTACTATTTTCGAAGTTTAATTTATGGAATGCATTTTTTTTCTTCCAAATTTCCATTTACTAAACTAGCTAAAATGATGGACCAAAGTTCACTCCATATACAGCCAAGATCTCTGTTTTGATACTGGTATCTTTGTCAGACATAGAAGTGGCATCAGTCCAGATTATCACGTTGTTTTTATGAATACAAGTATTTGACCGTAGTGAGAGTTTTGATTCATCCATAGCAGGAATGTAACACAGACAGAGAAAAGATGCAGAACAAAAAGTTCAAAGATGCACCTCAGCTCGGTTGATTAAATGCAATTAAACTAAGAACATGTTTGGTCTATTAACGCATCAATCAGGAGCCGCCGATTGACTTTTTGGAGATTTTTTAAAAAAAGATTCAGGGGATAGTGAGGATAAAAAAGCATAACGGTTGGGACAAACTTCAAAGAAAATAAGAAATTAGAATCGGCTGAAAAAAACAAAAAATATTATTGAATCTACACAAAAATGTCAATTATTAGATTGAATGATTACCATCTGATATGTTATTTAAAAAAAAATCTAAAAATATCTTGTAGCTTTTAAATCCGACACATAAACATCCAACCATCAAATGTTTTCTTGCTGTGGAAATTTACTAGACTAGATTCAAATAAACTCTAAAAGGAGTCTTTGTAACAGAACAACTTAAACTTTGTGATTCTAAGAAAAAAACTTTGATCTTTTTTTATATTTTTATCTATTAAAGTAGATTTCATACCCTAAAGAAGTGATAACCATCCAAGCATGGAACTGTTGAAGAAAATAAATGTATAATTTAACCATCAGTGGAGGTGAAAAAAACAAGAAAAGAGTCTGAACTCGAGTCAGTTCGTGTCTTCAGCAGAAAGCGTGGAGCTGCCTTGGAGGGCCACCAAATACTGGACGCCTATGAAAGTAAAGTGGATTTTAAATAGTGTAAAATCTATGATGTAGAGTATTGACAAGTCGCCCAATAAAGGTTTAAACGGATGTTTCAGATGAAACAGGACAGGTTCCCTCAGTGACTGGCTGTGGGAACATCAGTAACAGTAGTAAAGCTGAGAGCGCAGCCCTCTGAAGGTGTCCTCCTCCTTCCCTGCAGCCTCTTCTCCATCAAACAGCATGGACTCTGGGAGCACTACGCCCTCTAGTGGATCCGGCTGGCAGAACTCCACGATGAATTCCTCCTCACAGTCCAGCAGCAGCCTGGACCAGGCGCTGACGTCCAGCCGGCCGGCGGGGCCGCCGTACTCCTCCGGCAGGACGGAGGGTGGGATGTTCCGGTGCAGAGAACGCAGGTCTGAGCCGTGGAGGACGTACTGTGCAAAGAGACACAGGAGACATGTTTTAGTAAAACTGAATGCATTATGTTTGTAACCTTACAGCACTTTGAAAGAGTTTTTAAAAGGATTTTAATATCAGATTACTGCACGTTATTTATTCCCCTATCGTTGCAGAATCTAGATTTATTCCCAAAACTCTGCCTCCCTCTTTAGCCGTTAGTTCAGGTTTGTCCACAGCGATCAGGTTTAATATCGACTCTCCAAAAACCAAATGGATAGAAGGAAGAAACGTCTTAGTTGACATATTCAGCCAGATATATATGGAGTGAATTTTGTTTCAATATTTTTGAAAGTAAAAAAAAAAAACACATTTTGTGAATTGATACAAATACAATGCAATTCAAAAACTTAACTTTTAATTTTTTTTAAATGAAAATAGGATTATTGACTTTGCTCTTATCTCAGATTTTAATTTTTACATTTTTATATTTTTTATTTTTATTGTATTTTTCATGTTGAAATGTTTTAATTTAAAGTTTTTTTTAATTATATTTATGAAAATCTTAAATTTTCTTTTTTTTATTTCTGTTTTTTAGATTCAGTTTTAGTAATGGCGTTCTTTTGAAATTGTAGTTTACAGATCACATTTTCTTCACTTCAAACCCAACACAAACTCTTAATGTTAACCAATCCAAATGTTGTTGCTAACGTCCAGCGGACCAATAGAAATGCGTCTACATGCCTCCTTCCAGAGGAGAATGATCTGGAAAATGATTTCTACAAAGAATGGAATCTGTAAAACTCACCTTACAAACATTGTTAATATAAAATCTCAATAAAACAAAAAAAAACAATTCAAAGTATAAAATCTGTAACCCCCCCCCCCTTCACAAAAATGTAAAATAAATCTAAGAAATACCTTTAAAACTTTTTTTTAAAATAAACAATATCTAAAAAAAACCACCAAAGTTACAAAAACCTCAAAACATTTTTTGGATTAAAACTTTTTTTTTTTTTTTTAAGTTTCATTTCTGAATGGAATTTTTTTAAGGTTCAATTTGGAAATATATGGAACAAAATTCACACAATTTTTTGGAGCGACCGCAAAGGTCAGTGTTTCAAAACGTTAATGCAGATGACATTTTTCGGTACTGAAAGACAACCAGCGCTAAATTAATATATTTTTTTTTAAGTTGACATACTATTTTCATATTACCGTATAAGTTGCTAATTTTTCCCACGCTTTGAACCACGTGGCGTATAAGAAGGTGCGGCTTTTCTGTGGATTTTTCCAAGCAAGGGGGGGGAGTTAAAGTTGGAAATGAAAGAATAAGGAGCTAATTTTCATTTTAGCACAAGAACATGCTAGCAGCAGGCAAAATGGAGAACAAATGTCCTGAATTCACACATTTTAATATTTATTTGCTGCATTAAAGCATCAGAACCAATAAAAAGACTGGGCTCAACTCCTGCAGAGCTGAAATAAAGAGCAGATGAAGCCTCATCTTTCAGTAGAAAGTCTTACTACTGCGAGCTAACAAGCTAAAAGTGGCTAGCATTCTACTTCCTCCTCCTTCTTCTTCTTCTTCTTCTTCTTCTTCTAAGTTTTAATGGCGGTTGGCAAACTAGTTAAAGTGCAAAGTTGGAGTATTTTCCCAAAGTTTTCCTGGTGCCTTTGATTGAAGAGAATGTTTCCCTCGAGGAATCCGTTTAGTTTTAGGGTTGATTCAATAATGTTCAGCATTTTATTTTCTTCAAGTTTGAAGAGAATGCAAAAGCAAGGTGCAACACGGAGAGATGGATTTAGTGGAGGAGATGATTAAAGGTCAATAGTTACCCTCTCTGCCATCTTCTCCTTCAGGAACGGCTTGATTAGAGCGAAGATGCCTTTGAAAATACGAGGCTCGTTAATTATGTTAACCGCCTTGATTCTGATGGGGAAGCCGTCCTGTTGATTAAAAAATGATGAGAATGAGAACAAGAAGCTTGGAAAACAGATGAATAAAATAAAAAAAAAAACAACAACATAAAAATAAAAACATTGGTAAAACTATAGATTGGGGGAATTAACTTGGAATAATGCTGGGAGGTTTTTTTTATTACTTCCAGAGTTCACTAGAGTAAAAATACTAAACATGGTAACTGGCACTACTCGATCCGTCCTGCCACAGGCGTGACTTTCTGAAGGACTCGTGTGGACATGTTCCCACCACTTTTCCCCCCTTTCCACTCATTAAATTATTCTTTTTTTGTTGTTGAGTTTTTAGCGTTTTGAGTCAATTTTTTTCCCCTCTGTTGCGCTGCTCCAGTGTCCCGCCTCTCGGTCTAACATCATCAGACGTCTGATTGGCGGTCGCATTTCGCTGACGTACAGAGTCGCTACATGCTAGAGGAGAGAGACCCACAGCAGCACTCAAAGAATTTAACCGCAGCTACTTCGATGTTTAAGTAAAAGTAAATAAAAATTAGAGATGCCACCAAAAATCCGTTCGTTAGACATACTGAGCTTTTTCAGCAAAAACGGAAAGTTTATACAAGTTAGTATTAAAATATACGGAAGAGGATTAGGGCCACTGAAAAAAAAAAAAGTTAACTGATTTTTTAATTTTATTTCAGTTTAACATGGGAAAAGTTCTTTCTCAGAATTCTGACTTTAATCTCGGAATTTTGACTTTTTTCTCAGAATTCTGACTTTAATCTCGGAATTCTGACTTTAATCTCGGAATTCTGACTTTTTTCTCAGAATTCTGACTTTAAACTCGAAATTCTGACTTTTTTCTCAGAATTCTGACTGTAAACTCGGAATTCTGACTTTAATCTCGGAATTCTGAATTTAATTTCAGAATTCTGACTTTAATCTCGGAATTCTGACTTTTTTCTCAGAATTCTGACTTTAAACTCGGAATTCTGACTTTTTTCTCAGAATTCTGACTTTAAACTCGGAATTCTGACTTTAATCTCGGAATTCTGAATTTAATTTCAGAATTCTGACTTTTTTCTCAGAATTCTTCTTCTTTACCAGTTTAAAAAAGATTGGCTTCTCAGAGGACCATGACTCCCAGTTACAGGTTAAAATAACATGTTTTCTTATTAAACAGACAGAATCAGACTGCAGAGCCTCTACATATCTAGACATTTTGTTTCTGGCATTATCATATTAGTAAAGAGGTTCATAGATCTTTTTAAACAGAGAGAAGTAGGGAGAGCTGCAGATTTAAAGGTGAAACAGATTTACTGGGATATGCAACATGCAATAAAATATATCTTCAAGTTTACCAGAAAGAATGTGTTATGTGTTAAGAAAAGAAATGTGCTATATTTAAAATGAAGCATATCCATATTTTTCTGGATGGATGGAATTGAAAGTGTACTTCTAAGGGATGCATGATTTATCGATTTTGGCATTGGAATCGGCCGTTATTCTTTATTTTTTATAAATTATTGTTTTCGGCCTTAAAACATTAAAGAATGCTAAACTACATCGTATAGAAAATATTGAAGACTTTTCTGGAAGAAATGGATACGTTTCACATTCTCTCCATCGTATTGCGTGACGCCATCATCGGACATGCTCAGAGCAGTCACAGTAACGTTTGAACGGCTATTTAACTGTATTGCTTTTTTTCCTTTTTTAGAATATGCAATATTTACGCAGATACAAAAATATTCTAAAAGAAACCCCCACCGGAAAAAAACTAAAGAATAACCAACTAAGAAAAAGGAAGAATTGCCTAGCTGGAAATTATTCTGTTCCTGCATGCGCAGGACGGATCGGATAGTGACAATAACAATGATTGTAAATGCAGGAGGAAACTATCATTTCCATGTTTTCTGGGAATGCGCTAAGATCCCCCCCCTACTGGACAGAAGTGATTAAGACTAGTAAACTGAACTGAAACTGGACGAGTTTAACCGTATTCTAGCTTAGCGATTATCTGGACTAAAGAAGCGGAGCAGAAACCTTTTCCAGAAACTACAGGCAGCAAAGAGGCCATAGAAAGGATTAAAGGAGAAACCACCAACTGTTCCTGAATACGGGAACATAAAAACAAACTCTATGGAATTGAACCATTGACCTCTTCCCTCAGAAACATCTGAACAGTACAGGAAAAATGGAAAAGTTTTCTGTGTAATTAACCACCGTACCCTGATGTTTCATTCTATTCGTATCCATAACCTCATAACCTTGGAATGAAACCCGAAAAAATTTCCTTTTATTTCTTACTTTATGTTTTTTTTATGATTGTTTTGCTTGGTGGGGTCATGGATTTATTTATTTATTTTTTCTTAGTTTTATTTCTATTACCGTCTAAACATTTATTAAAAATAAACTATGAAAAAAAAAATTGTCTATTAAAAACAGTACCTGTAATTCCTGTGGTTTTAACTTTAAAAATATTATATATTTAGATCTATTTTGTTTGTCAGATTTAATACTATATTTTCTTCCAACCACAATTTTAGTTTATTTGTTTATTTTGTTGAAATTTCCCAAATCTAGTGTTAATTCTAACCAGAACAGAAAACAATAAATCAAATATCATCTGCAAACAGAAGAACTTTCCAAATGTGAAGAAAGTAAAACATGACTTTAACTTTGAAGAACATGACAATAACTTTCGGCCCAGCGGACCGCTGTGGTAATCCATGTTTATTAAACAATCAAATCATTGGGATGCAATCAGGTTGGTTTGATCAAAGTAAAACAGGTTAAATAAGGTCTCACCTGCAGAATGCTCACCACCTTTTTAGCAAGAAAAGGGCCTGGATTGGATGCCTGCGACATTCCCACCCCCGTGTAGTCGGCGAGGATGACGATCCCGTTCACCTGCGTCTCTTCAGGCTGGATCAGCTTCTCCAGAGTCAGATAAATGGCTCGCACGTTGTCCACAAAGGGATAGTCGTCTGCTTTCCATTTCCCTGCGATATGGTAGGAGAATTATCATCGATTGATGTTTGAGTTTATTAAATATTAACTGCCTGTTGCGTATCAGAGCTGATGTTTTCCACAATAGTTTATCTAATTAATACAGTTTCATTGTCTGGACATACAGTTATAATCTTCATTCTGTACGTGGCAAAGATTTAAGAATGAAATAATAGCGGCGTCCTTAAGCTAAGAACTAAGTGTAATATTTTGATAAGGCTGGAACAATGGGTGTCTACTCATCTGCAAACGTGTATGATGTAATGATGTAATGATGTGGCAGACTGGAGATGTATAAAATGCCTCTTTAACTGTTTATCGGGGCCACTTCCTGAGAGGTGAGCAGCTGCCTTCTGTAAATCTAAGCAACTTCTCTGATCTGAGTAAGATTACAAGTTCTTTTAAAATCTGTCATCTGTCTACATCCATCCATTCATCCATTTTCTTCCGCTTATCCAGTGTCGGGGCACGGCGGTAGCAGCTTCAGTAGGGAGGCCCAGACGTCCCTCTCCACAGCCACGTTGGCCAGCTGCTACGGGGGAATCCCAAGGCGCTCCCAGGCCAGCAGAGAAACATAGTCCCTCCAGCGTGTCCAGGGTCTCCCTGGAACACCTCACCAGGGAGATGTCCAGGAGGCATGTCTCATGGTTATTCAATAAATATTAATTATGAAGTGTTATTTAAAGAGTTTGTCCCGAGTGATCTCGTCTTAGGATTAACCCTCTCCAGGCAGATGTTGCAGATTTGCAACAGCTAAATGCTACTTAGTAAATTACTCCACATCCATATTTTAAGAGCTTTTGTTACTCAGAAGTGCAACAGAAGGACTTAGTTGTGCATTTGCAACAAACAGATTCTCTCCAGCTCACCAGATAACACTGCTGACTGACTTTCAACATGGCTAAGATTTTCTAAGCACCAATTTCATGCAAGTACCACTACCAATTTCCATTATTTTGAAATCAATACTACATAAGATGAATCATGAATGTGTATAAATATGACACATGCCAGTTAGTAGATTTTATCTCCTCTGGGTTCTTAACCAGAGGCATCTCGATTTCAATGTTGCAGATTCACAACGTGTGCCCTAACAGATACCAATGGATGCTATATGCTTTATCTTCTAGTTTGCCTATATTTTGAGCAACAGTTTAACAGAAACGGCCTTCTAGAGAGCTTTTAATATCTCGGTGGAGAAAAAGTCTGAGAAAAAGTTGTCTCTAATTTTGTGAGAGAAAGTTTTTTTTTCGAATTTTGTTTTGTTAATTTTTTGTTTGTGACATTCAAATAAAGTTAACGTTCATATCAGATTCAGTCTTCAGTGTTAATTTACCACTCCGGGCCACTGTTGCAAATCTGCAACATCCCAGAATTCATTGCATGTGAAGGTCTCTCTCAAAAAAAGTCTGATCTTGTATGTTACTAGCCCATATGATCATTTTCTCCAAATATCAGATTTTTCCTGCAACTACAACTTAATTTGAGCCTGAGAGGATTAAGAAGAGGAGAGAGCAAGCTCCAAGGTGTACAGTAGACACAGAGAGATCATCTTTAACAGATAAAAATGACAAAATAACAAAGATTATCCTAATAAAAGTTGTTTGGGTTCCTTTAGAGAAGAACACAGAGACCTACCAGGTCGGAGAAAGAGGATGTATCTCCCGTTGGGATCGGGCCTCGGCAGGACGGTGAGGAAACCCAGGTCCAGGACGTGTTTGACGGTGGACGGCTTCAGGTCCTGGAAGACCTCCGGCCAGGCCTTACGGCCCGCGTGGTAATTAAGCAGCAGCTGCAGGGCGCGGTCATAGTCGAACTTCCTGGCCCGCAGGAAGCGCAGCAGGAAGGCGTCGTCCAGCCTGGTTCTGAGGTTGGGATGTTCCTGGGAGTCAGAGAGGAAAATAAAATCATCGCTTCAATTCATGAAAAGCTTCACACTTCTGACCATTTTCACCAGTATCAACCACAGACTTCTAAGCTTTTAATAAAGATTATTTTTTTAGGACTGACCAATAAAAAGTACTGCTTCTATGGCTGAAACACTTAATCAGATTAATCTATTATTGAAATAATCGTCAACTAATTCAGTAATCGATTAATCACTGACTGGAGTATAGAGACTGTAAAACAGGCCTTTAGCTGACAGAGCGACCTGCTTAGAGCAGGAATGTAAAAAAATATATAAACATTTAGCATTTAAGATAAAAAAAATGTATTTCTAGAACTTTAATTTCGTAAAAAGTCTACATTTGGGAACCATTGGCTATCTGATTATTAACCGATAAAATAATTATAAAATTAATAATAATTGAACTTTATTGACCTCTTGTTGGACAAATTCTCCGCTGCATTTAACCCACGCTGGAAAAAATAAAGATAAGTCTTTCTTTTTCGTTAAAAGGCTCTATCCAGAACTGCTCAAGTGGAAAAGTTTTAGTTTCACCTGGTTTGATTCTGTAAAAAAAATAAAAAAGAATTGTTTTTGAGGAACCTTTGGCTATACGATTATTAATTTATTATATAAAAATATTTTTTTTATTGATTTGCAAAATAATCATTAGTTGCAGCCCAAACTGCATGGCTATAAGGTTAAAGGAAATGGACTCTGATACCCCTAAATGAAATCCAAATTAAAATAAATAAATACAGTCAGCCTGTTTGATATTTCAATTCTATGCAGTGAGTTTTGTTTCAATAATGTCAAAAGCAAAAATACGTTTTTGGAATGGAAATTTGAAAATAAAAAAGATTAATTGTAAATTGAAATGTGAAATAAATGCAGTCCAGAAATGAAATTTTAAAACTTGTCTTAATCAAAAACAACTTTTGGGAGAAACTTTGCTGTTTTCTCAGATTTGGTCTTTCAAATTGTTTTTTTTCAAAACTTCTTTTTATATTTCATAAAAAAAAAAAAACCGACTGATTTTATTTTCTATCTAACTTTTTTCTTTTTTCAATTTGTTTGCTACAGATTT